CTAGAAAAGGCAAAACTATAGGGACAGTAAAAAGATGAGCAGTTACAAGGGGTTGGGGAAGGGAGAGAAGAACAGGCAGAACACAGCAGGCTTTTAGGGCAGTGAAACTATTCTGTATGGGGCTATAATGATAGATAGACGTCCTTGTACCTTTGTCCAGACCCACAGAATGTACCACACTAACAGTGAATCCTAATGCAAACCATGGCCTCTGGGTGCTTATGATGTGTCAGTACAGGTCCATCAGTTCTAACGAATGTACCACCCTGGTGAGAGATATTGATAATAGGGGAGGCTAAGCATGTGTGGGGCCAGGGGGCACATGGAAAGTCTCTGTACCTTCTGTTCAGTTTTGTTGTAACCCTAAATATGCCCTAACATGTCTTTAAAAACAAACAACCCAAGGACACAGGAAAATTACAAAGATGTCTTCATGTTCTCTCTGGTCACTTGATTTCAATTATTTGTTTTCCAATTAAAAATGAAACTGTTTGCCACCCAGAAGATGACAAGTTACAAACCACCTGAAAGTTTCCTCCTAAAGGGAGGAAGTATTTCAGAACCCTCAACTGTCCTCTCCAGTGTATCCCAGCACTTGCAGGGAACCCCAGACACAGGTGGAATTCATTCTACAAAGGTTTATTAAGCAGCAGCCATGGGGCACCTCACTACATACTGAAGCTGGCCCCTTGTTAGCATCTTGCCAACCCGGAGCAGCTTTTTCTGAGGGGAGCAGTTGTTCGCTCTGACTCGGAGGATCCTGAATGCCAGCCTCTATGACATCAGAAGATTATAAGTACTTGAGGAGAGCACAGGAGATGGAGCTAAAGGACACCTGCAGAGGGTGTCCCTGGAGGAAGTGCTAATGCCAGTGCCAGTGCAGCCTCTGGGCCAATGCATTGCCTGCTGGGCCCTGGAGAGCACTGCCAGGCCTTCACCTATGGCAGTGATGGCGAACCTTTTGAGCTCGGCGTGCCAGCATTTTGAAAAAGCCTAACTTAACTCTGGTGCCGTGTCACATATAGAAATTTTTTTATATTTGCAGCCATAGTAAAACAAAGATTTATATTTTTTATATTTGTTTTATATATTTAAATGCCATTTAACAAAGAAAAATCAACCAAAAAAATGAGTTCGCGTGTCACCTCTGACACGCATGTCATAGGTTCGTCATCACTGACCTATGGCCTTGTCACAGCCTCACCAGTGATCTACTTATGTATTTGTGACCCGAACCCAAATCCCCACTTAGACAACCACCTGCTCAAAGGCTGAGCCTGAAACATATGCCTCCTGGAGCCGGGGTCATGCTCATTGAATTGAATTGAAGTTATTACCTTGGAGAAAGCGGGAGCTTGGAATTATTTCTTGAATTTAAAATTTCAGAAATTTTTGCTGAGGTCTGAATACACGAAGTGGGCTGGAACTTAGTGGGAAGATAGGGTTCTTCTTCCTTGAACAGTTTTATGAAAGCAGCTCTGGCCAGGGTCCAGCAGGCGAGAAGCAGGGTGACCTCTGCCCACTCAGGAAGACTCAGATGACCCTATGTTTATTTTTAGATGTTTTTGTACAGAACCCCAAAAAACCTTTGGACGTTGGGCTCACATCCAAGGTGAGGTGAACACAATCAGTAACAAAAGCATCAGACCCTCTCTTGAAGAGCCCATGTGCCAATCCAGGGACCCCTAGTCTCTCAAAACTGTCAGGCTTGACCCATAGAACCTTGCCATTAATAAAGAGCTGGAGAGTTGGGCCACCAGGCTCTCCTCTCTGACCTGACACCTGACACCTGACACTTACTCTCTGTGTGGCCTCGGACAAGTCCCTTCCCCTCTCCAAGCCTGTTTCCTCATTCATCAAATAAGGGTAGGGATGGAACACATAGACTCAGAGGAATCTCACAGCAAACCACAGCTCATCCTGGGTGCTAACACTGGTCCTGGGCGTGGAGCAGGGGAAGAGCCCTTAAAACCCAGCCTTTAGGAAAATGCTTACTTAGCTCATCTGACTTCAGCATTTCCCTTAAAGGCATATTTAGATCCAGCTGCAACAAACAACCATGGAGTGCCTACTATGTACTAAGCTATTTCATTCATTGTCTCTTCAGAACCAGCCCATAAGAAAACTGTCATTGTCCCCATGTCACAGATGGCAGGCCTGAGGGTACACTCATCCACAGCATGGGCTATGTGATCACCAAGGCCGGGGGTTACTCCTAGCCCTCCGCTTCCTTCCTAAGGGTCCTTGAGCAAGTTACTTACACCCTCCAGGCTTTAGTTTTCTCATCTGTAAAATGGAGATAATGCTAGCCCCTGTCTTCTGGGCTTGTTTCCAGGTTTGAATGCAATGGGCATGTGAAGTGCTCAATAACCATGACCTATTACTACTTAGAAATATTATTACTGCTGCTATCACTACCATTTCTACTAGAGATGAGAAGAAATAGACTCAGTGAGGGTGTGTGACAGGACATCACTCAAAACACCACAACGTTCTAAATTTTAATTGAGTCCACGGACAGGCAAGGTGGGTCAGTGCTGAGATACGAACTTGCCATGTAACTCTGGCCAGGCTACTCAACCTCTCAGGCTTAGGGTCTCCACCTGCCTATAAAATAGAGGCAATATCTCCCCAGTTCATGTGATTCATGTGCTAATGTAGATGAAAAGCCCCTGGCAGGGTGTGGAGTGAGCAGAAGGCCATGAAGGAATGTTCCCTCCCTTCCCATATGCCGCTTCTGAAATCCCCAAGAATGTAGCCTGCCAGTCCTTCCTTGAAACTGTTCCTGTATCAGAATTCTCAGACAAAAAAAAAAAAAAATTCTCTAACACAGAGGCTCAATAGCCCAGCCAATGGCATGTGGCCCCACTATGGGACTGAGCTTTCTTCTAAGGTCTAAGTGGATCCAAATTTTGCCACGGCCCATGTCCTGGGAAGTTCAAGTCCACACATGCACATGGACAAAACACTCACCTGCATGTACAAAACCTCGTCCAAGCCCTCCCCACAACCAGGCACAATGCCCCCCAGCCAAGCCCCACTGGCCTCAGCATCAACTCCCGAGGATGTGTAATCACAGGAGAAGCAGTAATAATACCAGCCATTACATCTCCTCCCTTCTCCCATGGTTCACAGTGCACTTTCCCTGTTAGCCGAGTAGGCAGATGCTGTGTTTTATTCATCTTTAAATACCCATGGAATAATGCTGGGTACAGAGTAGATATTCGGAAACTATTTCTTGAATAAATAAATTTTAATTTTTTATAAACCACCATTACTCAGCCCTTACTATTAGTTACACACCCTGCTAAGCACTGGACGTGCATTCTTGCATTTCCTTCTGATAACCACCCCATAAAGCAAGCTCAGTTATCCATCCCTGTTTTGCAGAAGAGGATACCGAGGATCAGGAAGTTAAGTGATGTGCCCGAGGTCACGGCTAGTGAGCAACAGACCTGAGAAGTGAGTCCTGATTCCAGACCCTGGCTCTGAACCCCTCCAGTCATTCTCTTCCTCTTTAGCCAGAAGAGGCAGCAAGGAGGGGGACAGGAGCGATGAGTATGTAGTCTGAAGAGATCAAGAAAGCAATGCTTTTATATTTGAAAAACCAGAAAAATCCTATTCTCCTCAGGCCTCATTTTCCTGGCTCACAGCACAGGGATTGTTGATATCGCTTCTATGCTCTCCTAACTTCCCTCCTGTAGGTCCACCCATCTCCAACATTCCAGCACTTTCCTCTTGATCCCACCTACCATCGGGGGAGCTGAGGAGAACATCTTTTGTAAAAGGGCACAGAGTTGACAAGTTCTTGTCTTCTCAGAGGTTTTGTTTCCAGCTCTTGAACCAGACAGTAGCTTCTAATCAAGTTTATGAGCAACTGCCTACCCAGAAGCAGGCAGGCAAGGAGTGATGTGGTTGGTCAGGGTGACTCAGGTATAAGAAAAATTTCATTTTCCTCTTTTCCACAAGAAAAATGAGTGGCGCAAAGGAGGAAAATAATGGCATTGATGCTCAGTCACAGGATCGGGGGCAATAGAGAATGGTAGGGACTGTAGCCAACCACGTATCCTTAGGAGGTGGCTGCTGCTAGCTAGGCCACATTCTGCCACGTAGGTATGCAAGTTCAGTATTGCCAAATCTTTCAACATTCCACGGGATGCCAGAATTCTATTTCTTTTTCCCACATGAATTTTCCCAATTTCTAAATGTTAGAAATTAATTATTTCTCTTTAAAAAACAAAAAAGCAAAAGCAAAAGAACATCAGTGCCCTGGACTTCACTATGAGCTACACATTTGCAGCTTCTATTGATCCTTGCGGCACAGGCAGATATGCTCACCAGACGTCCCTGTGTTCCCCTACATTTCCCAGCCTCCCTGCAAGTAGGTGAGGCTGTGTCTCAGGTTATGGCCAGCAGCCATGACCGCAGGAGCCACACCCTGGCCAGTTAGGAGCCACTGTCTTCTCCCATTTCTCTTTACTGAGGAGCTGCAACCCTGGAAGCCACATGGTGTAAATGGCACAGCAAAGTAACGAGTTGGAAGTGTCTGCCCTTCCCTCCACAGACCCCAGGTAGGAGAGATCTCGGGTGGGTCAGTGGAGGCAGCCAGTATTACCTGCACTAGCACACATCTGAAGCACATGTCTAAATTACAAAAACTACCTAGTAGTAGTTTAGCACTTCCTGGTTTTCAAAGCACTTTAATGCCCCTTCCCATGTGCCCCTTTACTGACTCTCAACTCAATAAGAAGACAGGATAAGGCTTTTTTATTTCACAGATGAGTAAAATGAGGTTCAGAAGGTAGAAGTGAGTAGCCCTGAGCCGTGAGACAAATAAGTGGTGGGCTGGGATTCTAGCTCTGGGCTCCTGAGTGGACTCCCTGTCCAGTGCTCCTCCTACCTCCCAACTTAAGAGCTGGTCTTTGCAACGTGAACTCTCTGGCACTCTCTGGGCCACCTGTGAGCTGTCTGCGTTAGTTGCTTGAAGATGCGCCTCTTACCTTTCCTGTGGACTTGGTCCCCTTCCAGATACAGAAGTAGCAGATGGTCCAGGCTGCCAGGAGACACAAGGCCAGCTCCCAGCGGAGATTCCCAATGTGCTCAATCCCATCCGAGATGGCCAGGACCCGGCGCCTGCAGAAGAAAGGGTCATGGGTTACAGGGGCTGGAGAGGGCCCGCCCCAACCAAACCTTGAGCAAAGCTAGTGCCACAAAGGGGCAGGGACAGCCTCTCCTTCCTTCACCCACCATCCACCATTCACCCAGCATCCTCTGAGCCAAACCTGGGGCTGGGGATGGGGACCTCAGAGAGGATCAAGACCCAGTCCCCTGCCTTCATGGAGTCACTCCATGGGGGGAAAGAGGGCCCAGTTAGCAGACGGTTCACAGTGCAACATGGTAAGGATATGATGGGAGAAGTGCAAGGCCTTTGGTTAGACCAAGACGCCCCTAGCACACCTCAGGGTCCTGGGAGACCACAGGAGTGTCCATAAACACTCAGGTCCCTACCTCAGCGGAGATCACACACCCTGGCCAATGGCACCTGTGTCACTTCAGATAGAAGCTTCCAGAGCCAGGTGGTATGGTTCACCATGTCTCCTTTCCTCTGCTGTTGATCATGACAGAAGCAAGTGTCAAGATGGAGCCTCTAGAAGCCTGAGCTCCTGAGTGATATCATGAACCCTTCTGCCACCCTGTCTCAGAAGTGTTGTGTGAGCAAGAAATGAACCCCGTTGCTTTAAGCTACTGAGATCGTTGAGGTGTTTGTTACTGTGGCATAAACCAACCTATCCTGACTGTTAGAGGGGGCCAGGGAAAACTTCCTGGAAGAAGTGATATTTGAGGCCACTGTGATAGATGATGGAATTTAAGGGTAAAGATTGTTTTAGGTTGAGGGAATAGCATGCACAAAGGCCAGAAAATGAACCTGGGATATTTGGGGAATGCTGGAGCACAGTGATCAGCGATCAGAGGGGAAAGCAGGAAAGGTAAATAGAGGCATCATCAAGAGCCTTGAGTAACATGCCAAGGGGTAGGGGTGTCCCGAAGGGCCCAGGCCACAGGAGAGAAAGGACCCCTGGGTGCGCTGAGCCAATGCCTCCAGCTACACAGTCCCTCAGAACCCATCAATTGTTCAGAGTTGACACAGGACTGGCTCCCAGAGCCCATGCCTGGGGTTTGTGTTTCCTTAAAGTCAAACTTGCCACGCTCCATATTGTGCTGAACCATGGCACCAACACAAACCCCCTCCAAACTTGCTCCACGAACCCCATCCCGGCTGCCAAACCACCCCCACCAGACCACGCCAGTCGCCTCAGCGCTCTGGGAATGTCCTTTGAGAAAGCAGCTCCCATCCCACCAAGCATGAAAGCCTCCCTCAGTGTCTGTCTCCCTGGGAATCCGCTCCGGGCCTGATTCTGCATTAATTACTCAATGACACCAATTAGCACTGGTCTGCAGGCTCCTTCCAGCCCCAACCCCCACAGGAGAAATCAGGCAGTCCCCCAAATAAAATCAGGCTGTGTGCAGCCATGGATTTAACTCAAAAGGAAACCAGCTCTCAACCTATAACCAGAAGTGGGACCATCACATAAATATGTATTTATTGAGCAACTACTTGAGCCAGGCATTATATTAATAACTAGAAGCCCAGCGCACAAAATCGCGCAGCCCCGCCCACCCGTGCGAGCAGCCCCGCCCACCTGCGCTGGTCTTTGGTCATTACAGTGTTAAGGCCACAGGCCTTTCAAAATATAGATAAGGTACTGAGGGTAAAATGGTACACATGGCATGGCTCTTGTCCTTGACTATGAAAAATTAGACACAAAAGAAGTCCAAGTTATTTGAGAAAGAACAGCGACGGCCACATAGTTTTAGCAACGATTATTTTATTTGCATCTTATGTCTTAGCAGCTTCTGGCTTTAATTCATTTGAAAACTACAAGCCTTATTAAACGAAACCCTACAGAGTATCTATTGTTTTAAAAGAGCAGTGGGCCCCAGAGCATAATCCTTGTGGGGTACTTGCCAAAAGACAAACATCCCTGCGCTCCATCCCAGATCCACTAAGTCCGAATATTTGTGGAATGGTCCCCGGGAAGCTGCATTTTGCCACGTTTCCCCAAGGATTACTGGCAAGGAAGGAAGACCCACCAACTCCACCTGAATAATTTTCAATCATTCATTCATTCATTCATTCATTCATTCATTTATTTAGGAAAGTGGGGCTTTGGGGAGGCAGTCAGGGATGCTGTGAGAAGCTTCTTTCTCCCCAGAGATGCCCTGATGTAGCCCCACTCCCAACATTCTTCAGGAACTTCAGGGGGCTCACTGACCCCCTTGTTTCCAGATTAAGAGCCTTGAAGACAACATATACCCACCATCTTGCAAACTAACCCCCAAAGTGCCCTGATAACCCATCAGCCGGTGAATGAGAAGGGACAACCCAGAGCAGGACAGAAAGTGCGTCACTGCCCATGGAAAGACCGGGGTGTGCTCCGTCCCACTCCACTCCAGCCTCTGAATTTTTCATTAAAAAACAAAAACAAAACACTTACACAAGGTCTCAGCTAGCAGAGACGCATGCACACACATGCCTTCTTATTGGGGTAGCTGTTTTCTGAACCGGGAAACTGAACGCTGGAAATGACAGAGACAGAGGGAGCAAGAAGGAGCAGGCCAGCCAGGAGTGGGCTGGCGCGGGTCCCCTCTCTTCCACACTTTGGACGCTGTGAACTTTTGAGTCATGCAGCCTGCTTTGGCGCCCTCTCGCTTAATTGAACAATCTCATTCCCAGAATGGGAAGCAGATTACTAAAAGCTATGCGGGATGAATTGCTCTTTTGTTTCACCAGACACTATTTGAAAACATCCTCAAACCATTTTCTTTAGGAGTTACCAGCGCTGACTCTAACTAGCCATGGACCTTGGGTTTCTAAAGAAAGCGGGCTCGGGGGCCAGGTTCTCAGCCTGCAGGGCTGTGGGGTTGTTTTGAAACCCACAAGGGCAGCCTTTGAGAGCATGGGGGCTGGGCACTCAGCTCTGGGGACTTGGAGAAGGCACAGCTCTTCCTGGGAAAGAGCTTTCTTAATGACCCGGCCCCATGAAGTACTGGGACAGAAGAAAGGTCTGAATAAGGAAGAGTTTGCTGCCAACACCCTGGCAAAGAAAGGACTCAGGACCAGACCTCCCAATACTGGCCAGGGAGCGGGAAATGCTGAAGACTAGATGGGGCCCTTTGGAGGGATTCATTTACTCGAACGAGTAATATTGCGCACCTACTATGAGCCAGGCACGCAGATTCTTCAAGAAGCACCTTTTCAGGCCATAAGAGTAAAATATTTCTGGAGATTTCCACCCAGAGACTGAAATCTCAGTACAATGCCCATGCTTCTCCAGCCATTGGCATGTACAGAGATGGGCTGCAAGTCCAGCTCTGCTCCTTCCCAGCTGTGTGACTGTGTGTAGGGGACATCACCTCTCTGAGTTTCAGCTTCATCTGTAAAATGGGAGCGATGCTATCTCCCCCTTCTCCAGGTTTTCAAGCATGGACTCTTCTAACCCTCTCAACAATCCCTGAGGTAGGTACAATTATTTTCATCATTTCAAAGATGGAAAACTGAGATTCAGAGAGATTAATAACTTGCTCAAAGTCATACCACCACAAGCAAGTGTAAGAGCTGTAAAGTGAACCCAGGGATCCTGACTCCAGAGCCCACACTTTCAGCTACAATGTTACCCCCCTAGATTCTCCTATTAGTTAAACCACAGCTTTCCTCTCTTCTTTATAAATTAGAGCTACCTATTGCATGCCCCAAGGCTACCTAATGTGTCTTTGTGTGTTCGGTAATAGCAGTATACAGTATCTGTCCTTTACCCATTGATTAATCTATACAAGTAATACGTACTAAAGTGTCTTCCGTGTGCCAGCTACCATGCTATGCCCAGGGGTCCCTAAAGAACGGGTGGTCTAACGAGGAAGGCAGATAAATAAACAGAGCAGGGCGTGGAGGGTTATGACAGAGAAAAGCTGGGGACCCCCACTGGGACCTGGCCAACATCAGGATGTAAAGGTGGAGCTGGGTCCTGCCTGCAGAGTAGTTAGTTTGGTTTGCAAGGGAGAGTTAGCAAAGAAGAAAGGGGACATCTGGGGGCAGAAAGGCCACCTAGAGCAAAAGGCTCGGTGAGGACAGGGCAGGACACGGCATGTAGGGTCAGTGCAGCAGAAGCCAGGGTGAATGATGGGGGTGAGGACACGGCTGGAGTGGCGAGCAAGGGTTGGACTACGAGCCTTCCTGAGGGGGATGGAAGCATGGAAGAATCTTAAACGGGGGTGAGACCCAATCAGATTCATGTTTCTGAAAACTCTCTGGCTGCAGTAGGAAGAATGAATGGTAAGGGTGAAACGGAACAGGGTGTCTAGTGCAGAGAACTTTGCCTGAATTTGGACAATAAATAGGGAGGGTCTGGACTAAGGTAGGGGAACTGGTGGGTTTGAGCAGCAGAGGTACAGGGGGCAGGTAGTAGGGAAGGGGAGGTCTAGGCTGACACCCAGGTTTGTCCCTGGGTGGATGGCAGCTCATTAGTTGAGCAGGAGTGAACTGTCCAGTGAGGGAGAGAAGATAAAGCATCAATCTTTTAGACAAGCGGATTTTGAGATGCTTGTGGGACACCCAGAGAGCTGAAATGCCCCACGGCAGCTGGGTCTCTGGATGCAAAGCTCAGAAAAGAGATGCAGGGGGAGATCATGGTGTCTAGGGAGAGTCTGAGGCTGCCTGAGGAGTGCTGAGAAGGGGAGGGGAGGGAAAAGGTCTATAGCAGAGCCCTGGAACCCTGACATCTAGAGAGTGGAGAGTGGCAGGGAGCAACCAGAGAGGGTGGGATAGCCTAACCAGGGGGAGGGGAAGGACGTTCCAGCAGGGGAAGCGGCCCATTCGCCAAGTGCTGCAGAGCAGCCAGGTGAGAGGGAGAGTGGGACCAGGCCAGGTAGGTGAGGCAAGGAGAGCTGCTCACCTGGTGGGCTGGACCTCAGATGGCAGGATAAGGAGGAGATGGGAGGTGAGAGCCTGGTGAGGTGGCTCTCTTGAGAAGTTAGGCTCTGACAGGTCAGAGATGTTGGTACCTAAAGGGGCCACA